AAAGGTCATTACGTGAACAAGTTCTGGCCGCCACGAGACAGCTGAGGTCGCTTCATGGGAGAAATTATGAGATTGCGCAGAGTCGCAGAAGGATTGCTGACGCCGGCACCAAATACAGGGCGTGAAGATCTCCGGGTTCCGGCATCCACGGGGATTTGCGTCTTTGGTGGAGACCCGGTCGAGAGATCAAAGGGTCCTGAGTTGGATTTCTGCCTTGTTGCAGGCCATATCTCCTCCCTCTGCCCTGGAGTATCAGGAGTGTAAACCGAACAATCTGCACCAGATAAATTAACTTGCATTTTGGGAGAGCTTAAGAAAAGATTTCCACGGCTCTCATTTTTATTACTTAAAAAAAAAAAACAAAGGCAGCCTATTTAAGTCTGATTTAGAAAAATGTACACCTACTACTTCAAATATTAAGACACGTGATTTGATAATTACCCTTGTTCACAACAAGACCAAAAATGAGTCAAAAGAGCTTTTTAATTACCTTGTCTCAGGGGATCTCTCCCATTCATCATGTTCGGCATATTTGAGAATAAATCCGGCTCAGTTCTGGAAAAAAAGTTGCTCGCAGGCTGGATTGCTGAACGTTTCATCGACTCATATTCACTTCTCAATTGATCATACATCTCATCAAGTTTTCGTTTTTGCCTGGTTTTACAAACAGTTAAGAATTCATACCCTGTTAAATACAGGAAGCAATGAAGTACGCATCTCACGCTCTTGTAAACACAAAGAAAAAAAATGTATGTCGCAAGTGATTGACCTGGACTTCTCAGCATATTTTTCTTGTAGTTCTTGCTTATCTTTGGACAAGCTTTCAACTTCCTGCTCCATTATCTGACATCTTTTTGCCATTTTCTGATAGGCAGTGTGCACCTGCTCCAATTTCTCAGTAAATTTCTCTTGCATAGCCTCACACTTTTGCCGGCATTGTGTGACAATCTTGTTCATTTTGCATTGCATCTCCAATTCCTTTTGTCCGAGGTAGAACATGACGCTTCGATATGCACTTTTCATGACTGGAATTTTATCATGTTAAAGGAATACAACAGCAACCAAATTCCCCATAACCGTTATATAACACAGGTTTGAAGGGCAATAAGATGAATTTATCCCTAATTAACAGAATGTAATCGATAACATAACAAGGCTCTAGGTTTGTTTTACCAGTGATAATGAATTTTTATGCATGTACCTTTCTAGTCAAGAAGCCGATAAAAGATGATGCATATACAAGACATAGAAAACCTTTACAGGATACGTATCTGTGGAGAAATTCCAGCCATTGCCATCTGCAAGTGGAAACTAGTAAGAATAGGAAATCATATGATCTGAATACTGAAGTTAGTAGCAGGAAAATTCTCTTACATTTATCCAGTCATCACCTGGATTTGTATCAATTGGTCGCATATGGCTGACAAGCAAAACGTCATTATATTATTAGAAAAATAAACAAAAATATACACTGAATTAGTACAAAAAGAATTTAGCATTGCAAATCCTCTGGAAACATGTGATTTTACTACTCTTTCACTTAGAAGAGAAGGATGATAGAAGAGAAATAATGCATTCGCAAGGTAGCCATTTATAAAGTGATGAAAATGGCATAATCACATATGATATCCATAGTTACATGCCAAAATAGAACTGCTGACAGCCACAGAATTTGGATCCAATTATGGATCTCTTCTAAAACATTGAAGTATTCACCTTTTGGAGAGTACTTGATCGCAAATTGGACATGCACCATCATTACTCAGTATCTTGCTGGCATCTTCTTTGCCTTTTTTTTCCTTTGCATTAAGGATAGCAAGCCAACTAGGGTTTCAGAACGTTAGTAATGACACTATATTGCAGAATAAGTTAGCATAAGGAAATTGTGTTAGGATACACAATAGGTGGCCACAGGTTGTTGTTATGGCTTGTCCTTCCAACTCCCTCCAGCATGCATTACACCTCATTTCACCCGTTGAGATGCTCCCATGGAAATAGGATGTTGTTAATACCTGCATGCATATTCACATTCATGAGCTTTATATATATAATATAACACCCCCACCGCCCCTAAAAAAAGCATACTAAGCCCATTTTCTGTTTGAACAATGGAATGTTCTAATAAAGGCAATAAAATCAGAGCTCATGTAATATATTAGAGATACTGCTATTCACAGAGAGCAAAGTCCGACATGCTATTCATAAAGGATCATAGTTATCAAACGAGCACACTCTGCATCTAATGCCAGGAACTCAGGATTGATTCCAAAAAAAAGTGCGAGAGCTGAGAATAAGATCAGAATTTTCACACTATTTGGTTTGTGCAAAAGTAATGAAACCAAAATAGATCGATCCATAATTTCAAATAACTTTTTCAACTATTGAACGAGTAAATTCAATTCATATTACCAATCCTATCTTTTCTTTTCCTTGACATAAATTTACAGGCAAACAATGTGGTTAAAGGGCTCCAAATTTTGAAACAACAAAATCTATCACGTAGAGATCAAACTAGATTCCGGAACAGCAAAAAGTAAAAATAAACAACCAAAATTAGGCATCAATTGCATTCGCCTTATTAAATTACCGGGAACTGTATAGCAAATGAGAATTTTGAATGACAAATGAGAATTTCGAATCATGTACATGCTTACTTGAAGATATGAATGACAAAAAGTGTGGACATACATGTTTATTTCCACGTGTTTAACAGATTTCAAATGAGACAGTATTCTCAGTTAGAATTTTTTCATTTCTTCTGGTAAGGAAACAAGAAAGATTTAAATATGGAATCCTTTACTAGAATTGTGCAAAGAGGAACGTCTTAATTACATGAAACCAGAAGTATAATAGAAAAAATAAAAAATAAGAGATCTCATGTTATGAACAAGCATGGATAATTTTACGTATTATACCATAATCCCAACAAAGGAGGCCTCATCTTTACATTTTTCTGAAATCAAAATTCTTCTGTTCAAATTTATTAAAAAATGCAGGAGAAAAACTGAACATGCTATCATAGGAAAGGACATTTTTCTTAATAAGTACATAAACAACTAGTATAAGCAAACCGGGGAACTATCATGACAGTTTGAACCCGAGAATACTTTTCATGAAACGTTTTATTATTCCAGAAATTGATAATTTTATGTAAATCTTTTGTTTTTGGATACTAGAAGCTTGACTTACTGTTTCCTATCTGTATAGTCTACATTCAGATTTCTCAAGTCACAGATTACCCTAAAGTTTCGATTTTTTTTTAGACGAAAGAGCCCAAGAACTGCTCTAGAACAGAAAACCTATCTCTTTGTAAAATTTTGATAAACGAGTAGGAGAAAGGCATAATAATTTATGAAAATAACACTTCATATGAACCAAATTCAAAAAATATAACCCTAGAACGGACAAGAAAATTTCCCTCCTAGCAAATGTAATTTTCCAAAAAATAAAACAGTCTCTAAGAAGAGGAAGAAAAAATTAACAATAGCTTAAATCTCAAACCTATTAGGAAAAAAACAAAATTAATTTCCGTAAATTTACGTTAATAAACCCTAGAGCAGCTCAGATGTTGACTTACATCTCAGAGTACATCACAGATAACTCGAAACTCTTCGGAAATTTCTCAGATCGTAAAGAAATCAGTATAACAACACGAATCCGAAGCCTTGTTCTCTACGGGGAAAAAATACAACTCAGATCTCAAAACGAAGGAATCAATTCAATGAGATGATCGATCGAGAGCGTACCTGTGGGGATAGTTAAGAAATTGGGGGAAATTATAAAATTGAAGAATTCTACTCTATAAATTTTGAAGGCGAGTTTGACCACGACGCTTGACCCCAGTATGCCTGGTCAACCGGAATGTTTTCGAGATTACCGATCTCATCAAAAACGGACCGCGTGCAAGCGGGCGAGTCACAACACATCCTCCTGCTAAATCCATCGCAAAGCCTTTAGGGGCTGTTTGGTTCCCTGTTTTTGAGAAAAACACTTTCTTGAAAGCCTGCCAAAAGTACCAAAAGTATCACTTTTTGGCAGGCTTTCAGCTTAAATCGCCTCTAAAAAAGAAGATTTTGGCTGAAAGCCTGCCAAAAAGTGACACTTTTGACACTTTTGACTGGCTTTCAAGGAAGCCTTTCCCTCAAAAACAGGGAACCAAACAGCCCCTTACTGATTGCTCGTACGTGGACGGTTCTAATAGAAAGTCTTCTCACTGATTAGATGGTACTGATTATTTCATATACATATTTGAAATTTGTAAAATAGTTAGTTTCACTTTAAGCCTCCAATTTCCCTTTTTGAATAATGTGTTTGATGTCCTACATAACAATTGGGTCTAAATAATGCCCTACCACTATGTTTTCACTACAAATCATATCAGAACTCTTTGCATGCGAGCGGGGAGTTCAGATCGCTTAAGGGGGGCATGAAATTCCCAAACTGCTCCCCCTAACTATGCCCATTGAAGGCCTGGATTGTGTGTTCATATACAGTTGGTTTTGATAGAATCAGAACTCCTAAATTTTATTGTTAAGTAATCTAGATAGCTAACAAATATATCAAACGGGGGTGCACGCAAAGGTTGTTTTCAGTCATTGCGGCATGTTCAATGCCTAAATCAATATCATGTGCAAAAGATTAACATTGTTAACAACAAATGAAATAGATATGGAGGAAACATTAAAGTGTGAAAAAGGCTGTCTTGCCTCATCTTTATGTTGGGAATTCGAAACAATCAATCGAACCCTTGCCCTTCCGGACCTTGTGTTGAAAGTAGGAAAGTAGGAATAAACCACAAATAAAGATCTAACCTTGTAAAAAACAGTAAAAGAGACGAACACACAGATTTAACGAGGTTCGGCAACGTGCCTACGTCCTCGGGAGCCACACCACACAATCTTTCTATTAATTGAAGAAGAAAATACAAGCTCTCAAACAAGGGGTAAATCTCTCTGAGATTCTTTCTCTCTTAGCAGCCAAAAAAACTCCTTTTTTTGATGTCCTACAAACCCTAGAAACGTTTGGGTATTTATAACAAACCCCAGCAGAACAGGATTCCTAGATAAAATAGGAAACAACGAATCTGCGTCGCGGTCGACCGCTTTGCCAAGGTCGGTCGACCGCTTTGCCAAGGTCGGTCGACCGGTCAGAACGACGAAATCCTACAGGGTCTTGTGCACGATATCGGTCGACCGCAGCGACCACGCCGGTCGACCGGCCAGAGCGAAAACTTCTTCTCAGTCTCTTACAGTGCACGCGGTTGACCGGCTCTGCCACTGCGGTCGACCGCACAGTCTTCTGACTGTTTTCTTCGTCTTTTCGATTGCAGCTTTGGGTCTACACACTTAGACTAACAATCTCCCACTTGGAGACCAAAGCGCCATCAATGAGCTCACCCGAACTCTCCCCTTCTTCGCATGTATCTTTTCCCCCGAAAAATTCTTTCTTCAATCAACATCCCGACGATCGCGCCGATCCTCGTAGTGTGGCTCCGCCTTCGTCTTCTACTCGTGAAGGCCAACTGAAGTTGCGCACAACTCCAGTTTCTCAATGGTGACTGCCTTCGTCAACATGTCCGCCGGAATTTGACTCCCCAAAATCTTCATTAAATGCAACTTTCCGTCCTCAATCAGCGAGCGTATAAAATAGTATTTGACATCGATGTGCTTCGTTCTGGCATGATATACTGGATTCTTGGCAAGATGTATAGCGCTCTGGCTATCACAATAAAGAACTCCTCTCCCTTGCTTCAGATCCAACTCTTCCAAGCACCCGTTCAACCAGATCATCTCCTTACTTGCTTTAGTCACCGCGACATACTCAGCCTCGGTTGTAGACAAAGTCACAATCTTCTGCAGACGTGAGACCCAGCTCACTGCTGTCGACGCTAAGGTATAAACATACCCGCTTGTTCGTTGTTCCCCTCAAGTACCGCATTATCCACTTTACGGCCTCCCAATGCTGCTTTCCTGGATTGCTTGCAAATCTGCTCACAACTCCCACTGCATGGGCGATGTCCGGCCTCGTGCAAACCATCGCGTACATGAGACTCCCAATGGCTGAAGAATATGGCACCCTGCTCATATGCTCTCTATCTGCATCTGTCTTAGGCGATTGCTCCTCAGATAACTTGAACTGACTTCCAAGGGGTGTGCTAACAACTTTAGCATTCTGCATGTTGAACCTCTGAAGTACCTTCTCAATGTATTCAGCTTGGCTCAAACTCAATGTCCCTTCAGCTTCATCCCTACTGATTCGCATCCCTAGAATCTGCTTCGCTGCACCCAGATCCTTCATTGCAAATTCCTTTGCTAGCTGCCTCTTCAAACTGTTTATCTCTTCTAAACACGGTCCTGCTACCAACATGTCATCAACATATAATAACAAAATAATGAAGCTGGACTCGAACCTTTTGAAATAGCAGCAATGATCTGAATTGCATCTTCTGTAGCCATTATTCTGCATGAAGTTGTCAAACTTCCTATACCACTTTCTCGGGGCCTGTTTCAAACCGTATAAGCTCTTCTTGAGCTTGCACACCATCTCTTCCTTTCCTTCTTCAGTGAAGCCAACAGGCTGCTTCATGTAGATTTCTTCATCCAAGTCACCATGAAGAAAGGCAGTCTTCACATCTAACTGCTCAAGGAAGAGGTCTTCTGCAGCTACCAAACTCAACACCACTCTGATGGTTGTGAGTTTCACAACAGGGGAAAATATCTCCGTGTAGTCCACTCCTTCCCGCTGTTGAAACCCTTTCACTACTAATCTGGCCTTGAATCTCTTGCTTCCATCACTCTCCTGCTTGACCCGGTAGACCCATTTATTGTGCAAGGCTTTCTTCTGCGCAGGTAGCTGGCTAACTCCCATGTCTCATTAGTGAGTAGAGAATCCATCTCCTCTTGCATCGCATACTCCCACTGCTGAGATTCACTCACTTGCACTGCCTCTTCATAACACTCCGGCTCTCCGCTATCTGTTAAGAGTAGATAATCAAGTGACGAGAGGTATTTGGGATTTGGTTTGGGTACCCTAGATGACCTCCTAGGCTCCACGCCCTGGGTAGTAGCTTCTACACCTGTAGTCTCCTCCGTTCTACGGTCAGAACTGACATCGTCGCCCCCATCTGGAAGTTCCTCCAAATCCATGTACTCGGATCCACCTGTATCCGTAGTGCTGCTCCCACTGCTTTGGCTATCCTTGGCATTGTCCCTGTCCTTGTACATCACATCCTCATTGAATATCACATCCCGGCTCCTGATGATCTTCCTGTTCTTCTCATCCCAAAGGCGATACCCGAACTCATCAATGCCGTATCCAATGAATGTGCACTTCTGTGACTTAGCTTCTAGCTTGTCCCTGACATGGTCACTGATATGAACATAAGCCACGCAACCAAATACCCGCAAGTGTGAGAGATTTATCTTCTTTCCACTCCAAACCTCCTCTGGAATCCCAAAATCTAATGGAACTGATGGCCCGTGATTAATAAGGCGTATGTACCGCATCCGCCCAAAATGTCTTAGGCAGACCTGCATGTAATCGCATACTCCGCGCACGCTCTGTCAAGGTCCTGTTCATCCTCTCTGCAATGCCGTTCTGCTGCGGCGTCCCTGGAGTAGTCCTCTCTAAGCGAATCCCATTCGTAGCACAGAACCTCTTGAACTCCTCCAGCTCATATTCTCCACCATTATCTGATCTCAAGCACTTCACCTTCAGATCTGTCTCGTTCTCGACCATGGCCTTCCACTTCTTGAAGATCTCGAACACCTCTGACTTGTGCTTCATGAAGTAAACCCACACCTTCCTCGAGTGATCATCGATGAAGGTGACGTAGTATCTCGAACCGCCAAAAGAAGACTGATAATCATATTTTATTACAATTTTATACCCTCATTATCTATTTTACATGAATAAATATACCATTAATAATTATTGTTAGATTAGTTTGCACATAATTGAATGAAAATATAAATAAATATTATTAAATGTAAAAACCCCTCAAAAATCTCTCTTCTCTATTTTGTAGTATTTCTTTATCTGTATCTGAACGTCGCCCTTTCCAACAATATTGCAAGGTTCATTATCCCCCAAGTATACTTTACCAAAGTCCCCTGCTACATAGTTCTGAAGTAGTTTCCTATTTGCAGTGGCGTGGAAAGAAGCTCCTGAGTCGATGACCCAAGAATCAGAATCGCTATCCATAGCAAGGATCAAGGCATCCTGCACGATATGAGCCTCCTGCTCACCCGCATCCTTCTTTGGTGCTTTACAGACCGAAGACATATGGCCCTCCTGGCCGCAGTTCCAACACTTCCCTTTGATAGACCTAACCTTCGAGTTCGGCCTCTTCTTCACTGATTTCGACCGATTCCTGTTCTGGTTCCCTTTCTTCTGGCTTCTGCCTCTCTGCTCGAAACTTAGGGCTGAACCTGAACCTTCTGATTCGGACGATTTCCTTCTAACCTCCTCGGATAGAATCATGCTAACAACCTCATTCAGCTTCAACTTCTCTTTCCCCGCCGAATTGCTGATTGCCGTCACACAACCTGCCCAACTATCCGGCAACTGCGATAGTAGTAGAAGGGCCTGCACTTCGTCATCGAACGTGATGTCCACGGAGATAAGTTGATCAACAATCGTGTTGAACTCGCTGAGGTGCATCGTGAAGGACCGTCCTTCTGCCATCTTGAGGTTGAAAAGAGTTTTGACTAGATGCACCTTGTTTGCTGCCGACGGTTGCTCGTACATCTTCGCGAGCGCTTCCATAAGCCCCACCGTCGTCTTCTCCTTCAGAATATTGTGGGCTACTGATTTGGCGAGCGACAACCGGATTTGCCCTAGAGCCTTCCTATCCAGTACCTCCCAATCACCATCTGACTCCGTCGTCTTCTTTCCCTTTTCCTTGCCCAGAAGCGGGCGATACAAGTCCTTCTGGTACAGATAGTCCTCCATCTGCGACTTCCAGTAGGCGAAATCCGATCCGTCGAACTTCTCAATCTTTGATTTGCTTTCCTCTGCCATGGCTTTCACACAAATTGCTGAACGAAGCTCTGATACCAGTTGTTGGGGATTCGAAACAATCAATCGAACCCTTGCCCTTCCGGACCTTGTGTTGAAAGTAGGAAAGTAGGAATAAACCACAAATAAAGATCTAACCTTGTAAAAACAGTAAAAGAGACGAACACACAGATTTAACGAGGTTCGGCAACGTGCCTACGTCCTCGGGAGCCACACCACACAATCTTTCTATTAATTGAAGAAGAAAATACAAGCTCTCAAACAAGGGGTAAATCTCTCTGAGATTCTCTCTCTCTTAGCAGCCAAAAAGCTCTCTTTTTGATGTTCTTTTCAAACCCTAGAAACGTTTGGGTATTTATAACAAACCCCAGCAGAACAGGATTCCTAGATAAAATAGGAAACAGCGAATCTGCGTCGCGGTCGACCGCTTTGCCAAGGTCGGTCGACCGGTCAGAACGACGAAATCCTACAGGGTCTTGTGCACGATATCGGTCGACCGCAGCGACCACGCCGGTCGACCGGCCAGAGCGAAAACTTCTTCTCAGTCTCTTGCAGTGCACGCGGTCGACCGGCTCTGCCACTGCGGTCGACCGCACAGTCTTCTGACTGTTTTCTTCGTCTTTTCGATTGCAGCTTTGGGTCTACACACTTAGACTAACACTTTATTGACTAAGTTCACTGCTAAGTGATTGTGTTTTTAACCGTGATAAAAAAATTCATTTTAGTTTTGGGCAAAATGATGAACTACACATCTTCTCAAAATGTCATGCATGTGATTGGCGTGTCTGAGCTGCACATAGAGGCATGAAAAATAAAAAATGTCCTCCAATCAATCCAATGTGCGTCTCTGACGTCTTACTCACACACAGGGCATTCTAAGGGGATGCATACTCAAAATAATAGCTTTCTGCTGGTAAGGAACTGGTTAAGTCAATTTTACTTGCATGTTGTCATTCTTTCTCTGAGCACTTTAGAATAGAGTAGTTTGTCACAGCACAAACATTTGCCAATCAATCGCCTTTTTCAGTTATCTTTCCTTTATTATTATTATTTTTGTAAAGTGCATTGTTTTTTTTTTTCTTTTTTTTATTTTATTTTTTGGATCACATCACATCCCCCAACATAAAATAGATGAATAGATAAAATTAAGAAGATATCTTGGTCATATAATGTATTTACTCATATATCTGAAAATAAAAAAATAGATATAAAAACTGTTCTTAATTACACTAACCTGCGATCAAAATAACTAAATCATTTCATCAATACTAACATCCAGTTAAAAATCTGAATATATTTAATTTATATCCACATCGATAACTTTATCCTGCAAAAATTTTAAAAATTACCCATCCCATTAGCTCTTCCATGTGCGCATTTTGTCGGATACGGATACACATTACTTGGATATCCATGTTTTTACTCATCGGATGTGGATATTTTCACTACTCGACCCGAACCCGATACATTCGACAACCGCTGCTAAAATCCCATTCAAACATTCCTTTATGATTGGAACAAAGTAGGGTTTCGGAGTGTCGATACACTCCTGTTATACTTTACCCGCCTCTCTCCTCCGCTGCCGCCGCCGCCGCCGCCGCCGTCCGAATATCGGAAGATCGCCAGAGAGTTCAATCATATTTCATAGTAAGAAAATTTAGTTTATTTTGGAGAATTTTCATTTATTTTCTTTTTTCTACTTCTTTTCTACTGACTCAATGTTTAATTTTGATCGGTTAAGTTCTATATAGAAGCTGCGAGTTCTCATGATCTGATGACGACTGCTGCGGTTGAAACCGCAACAAATTCAGATGTTAACAGAGCAGAGGAGCTCAAAACATTGGCTAATGAGGCATTTAAGGTTAAAGTTCTAGTCTTTACTTTGTTGCATATACTTATTATCTTAATATTTGAAAAGAAATTTATCTTAAGGTTTAATTGTAGTGACCAATATTTTTTAGTCGGTAAATCCACGTGATTGCTTAACCTATATAAAATCTATATTTGCTAAGTTGCAAGTTCTGATTTTCTATCTTGTTAACCTTCTATAAGTATTGTATCATACAAAGTTGGCATATAGATTTGATAATTATTCGTGCACATATGTCTTGTACATATTAAAATAACAATATAGTCATTTCTACTTGGCCAAGTTGGTTTTAAATCTTAATCATGTTCATAGTTTATATAAAATTAGTATTAAATGTACAGGACTCTGCAACTTTTTGTTTTTCTTTATTTATTCTGACTATCTCATATGCGTTCCTTACAGCCAACAAATTTTCTCAATCCATTGATTTATATACTCAAGCTATAGAGTTAAATAGCCTAAATGCTGTTTACTGGGCAAATCGTGCATTTGCACATGCCAAACTTGAAGAATATGGTAGTTCTGTGGAAGATGCAACAAAGGCTATTGAAATTGACCCCGATTATTCGAAGGTGAGTAGTTCATGTGTTTTTTGAACCTGTATTCATAGGCATAAGCTTCTTGAACGCTAAGCTTACTGCATTAGATTTCTTGTTTTAAGTTACTTCTTTCTCTTCTCTTTTTTTCCTTTTCCTGTAGGGTTACTATCGTCGAGATGCAGCATATCTTGCCATGGGAAAGTTTAAAGAAGCGCTAGAGGATTTTCAACAGGCATGTCAAGTAAAACAAACTTGCATTATATGACATTTGATCTATTGTTGAGTGATATAGTATGTATAAATTAATGAGCTAATATTGGAAATATAGGTACTATCAACTTTGGTACTAATTGTGTGACGTAGCTTTCGGAAGGATACATGGGTTTTCCTCTAGTCACAAATACAAATGATTGTTGATGACTTGATGTTAGTATGATCACTGCCATAGTTTTTTATTTTTCAGTACCATGAACTCAGGAAATCTATATTTATTTTTCTAATATTGACATGCTAATTTCTGATGTTTACATACAGTCAATTGGAAAATTCACGAAAATTCACTTTCTCGTATAATCTATAGTCACCGCCTTTCTATTCTGATGAAACTTTAACTTATTTAAATTCTATGCACCATCTTCCATACTTCTTTGTTATGAAGCACATTTAGACTCTACGTGTCATACTTGCTTTTTCTAATTTTTGAGATGGCTGGCACTCCTTCTTTCTACTGATATGCTTGTATAGAGTTAGCATTCTGCTAAATTTTGGTTAAACACATAAGGACATGTTTTATGAGGTTATCAGCTATTATGATTTTAAATGTTTTACAACATGGTATAGGTGAAAAGAATTTGTCCAAATGATCCGGATGCTACAAAGAAGTTGAAGGAGTGTGAGAAGGCTGTACAAAAGATTCGATTTGAAGAAGCAATTGCTGTACAGGAATCTGGAAGACGTTCAGTTGCTGGGTCTATTGATTTTCATTGCATAAGCAATTTCTATATTCATCAATAGCTTCTTACATGTTCTCTGTTTCTTTCTTCTCAAGGACTATTGTTACCTGAAGCATTAGGAATCAATATTCGTTCAATGACATGCCATTTTTTTTGGGTTTTTCCTTTTAGTATGTGAAATAATGAATGCTAAAATCAGCATAGAAAATGATAACTTAAGGATGCTGGTTCATGGGTGAGATGCAGGTACCTGATATGAGAACATTGTGATGGATGAAAGGCAATATGAGGGGAGGCAATAAGAAATGGGTTGATTCCCAGGGAACTGGTAAGCTATGAACACACGAAAAGTGTCTTGGGTGGTCAGGATATGTACAATGGAAATCCAAAACGTGTTGCTTTAAGAGTAGTTAAATCCTAGTGGAAGTTGATACTAGGACTGTGCTTAGATTACAAAACTCTGATTGATAAAGAAACATAATGTTGGTCGGTTTGAGTTATTTGGCCAAGGGAATGTATCATAGTCAAGCTGGGATAAAATGTCAAGGATTCATATAGACGACCCCAAGGAATTGAGAATAACAAGGTCTTTTGTTGTTATTGTAGTCATGCTTATATTTATCGAAAGGTGAAATTGCTGCTACTTTACCTCCAGATTTTCTTGTTTGTCGGAGACATTGATCTGTAGTTCTGTATGCTGTGACATAACACATAACATGGTGACTGTTAATTTGGTGTTAAGGAGTGCTGAGGAGCTCCCAAATTCTTGAGTCAGGTAACATGTAAAATTTTAATAGGAGTTATATGGGCCATGTCCTTATTAAATGATGCAAAGCAAGTATCATTCTTTTTTTCACTGCTGCTAGTAGATTTTCTTATTAAAAGGTTTGAGCCTCTCTAATTCGAGATCCAACTTTTAATGGAGACTTAAGCTGCAGCATTCATACAATCAATTAATTTGGTAAGTATTAGACAATCTAAAGGAGAAATAGAAGGAACAAAGCATATAATTATTTGATAAAGTTATACCATTATGGACCTATGGTAGAAGTGTGTGATGGGTATATGCTGGGGAAGTGAGGCTTTTCCATATAAATTAATGCCGGAAAAAATTCCACTGAGTGATCAATTCCCCATCATGGATCAAGGGTTGGTAATGTATTGGTATTGGTTCAGACTAGAAATGAATCATATACATGTAGAGTTGACTCGAATCAACCCCTTTAATAGACAAATCAGCCGTTCTACCTAAACGTAACTCACTGATGCGAAACGGGGGAGGGGGTCCATCAAAATCAGCGATCTAAATCGAACAACGCACCGTTTCGCCAAAATTCTTGATCTTAGGCAGGAAATTTAATCTAAAACAGTTAATGTGACAGATGAATTTTAATAAGATTTGCATTGACAATTATGAACAATTCCAATCGGCAATCTCGATCAATTTAATTACAATATTCATTATCATTGCACAAGTTTTACAATCAATATCAAGTTTTAACAATCACATGTTCAGTTACTCTCAACTCACAATTATACTTTAAGCAGTGAATATATGGTAAGAGTTTAGAGGTAATATACTCATGCAATTAACTAACAAAATGAGATTGACAGAAAAATAAAGAGGAACGAAAGAAAACGAAAACTTCGTCGGTCTGAACAAACTCGACGTGAGAGACCTCTGGAGGTGGTGCGACGACAACGGTGAGCTGAACGACGATGACGAGGCGGAGATCCGATGACGACGAGTGTGACGGTGTTGAACTGATGACGACGGGATGAGGGTGGTGCGATGTCCCACGGGTAGTCGTCGGGTCGATGCAGGTGGCGGGCGTCGGGACGAGGCTGGCAGCGACGTCAAGACGAAATAAACGGCGGCTCGAAGAGTGGAGGAGGACGGAGGGAAATCAACGACTGTTGAGGTGATTCTGGACGGCTTACGGCTACTCGAAGGTAAGGAGAGCAGGGATAGATCAGTAGCTTGCGAAAGAGAATGGGTGGGGGCAGTGAGGCTGTGAGATGAACAGATGAACGGGAGAAGATAAAAGTTTGACAGCTAGAAGAAGAGAAACATGTATTGGCCTAGGGTTTCACACCCGAGGCCTAGATTTTGCACCCAAATTAAGCTAACTCAAATTTCAATTTAATTTTCAATAATTCATTGATTTTTAATAATTCATTGATTTTCAATAGTCTCGTACAACCTTATTTATAAAGAAAACTATGTGCACACAACGTGCAATAAAAATAGAAACAAACAACAATCCCTCAAATCACTCAACTAAAATTAAACTAAATTTCAAAATTCAAAATTCAAATTTTAAATTTTAAATTTCAAATTTTAAATTTTAAATTTTAAATTTCAAATTTCAAATTTTAAATTTCAAAATTTAAAAATATATCAACTAATCAAATATTGCTATTTTTGTCCTCATTATTCTCCCCGGGTGGGAGAAAACTCGACTCCGTCGAGTTAGCTACAGAAACTTGCCATCTTCAATATACTCTGTCTGTATCTTAATCTGCCGTCAGTTATTTTTCTACATCTCAAATCATTAGTTAAATTGCATTATAAATTCACCATCTAAAATATTATCAAAATTCACTACAGTTTGGGTGAATATATAGAAGTGGGGGTAAGGTGAAAGAACTCTCAGAAATAATAGGCTAGGGTCAGGCTTGTGAATATATAGAAGTGGGGGTAAGGTGAAAGAACTCTCAGAAATAATAGGCTAGGGTCAGGCTTATATTAGTGGACTGTCAATAACATTGTGAGGTGAAAGAACTCTCAGAAATAATAGGCTAGGGTCAGGCTTATATTAGTGGACTGTCAATAACATTGTGGCTGTTTAATCACTCAATATTAAAAATAGAATTATGATCAAATCAATAAATGTTGCCATTAATCATTTCAAGAGTTAGGAAAATTCACATGTAAAATCTTAAACAGCTATAAATAAACTGTATTGGACAAGTCCAAACCATCTCAATTATCATCATTAACAGTTTTAAATTATGTCCTGACTTCATATCATTCATTTCAGTTAACAATGTATTTATTCAAGTTAGATCACTGATTACCAATATATGATCAATGCAAATCAAAACAAAATGATGCAAATCACTCAAATGACTACGTATGAAATGCAGACTCGAACAGTGCTATCAATGGCAGATTTAAACTCAACGAAGTGTCTAGTATGCACGACGTCCTCTATCAAATGGAATAATTAACTGTTCCTTTGTTAAGATGCATAATTTTTTTTTGATTCTAGCAGTGATAGTGAGGAACATGCAAACAAATACGTGAATGAGGAATGTTTTTGTGCGCTCAACTTGAGACAAGAAAGGAAATGAAAACACTCGTGCTCAAATTTGTATCCCTAATCACTATATATTCCCAAAATGGATCAGTGTACGTGTGAGTGACTATCGGGATAATACATGGGGGTTTGACATCTAATATGATAGTTATTTCACTATGCTCAGTTTGAGTTTCAACTCCCATACAAATATCTGAGTGAATTGCTTCAAGAATCAAATCAGGAACGTGTTGGGTGTCATGTTTGTCCGGGAGGACTTCGTGGAGAATACCAACAACGTTTCAGTCACGGGGGTTGGTTCAAGAGGAGTTGAAGTTTCAATTTCAAGAACAACTTCAGGGATAACATCAGTGGATTTCGTGATCAAAGGGGTAGCTTGGGGAATAGTCAGAGTGTTGTCATTGCATGAAACTTTAGTTAACTCCATAATTACAGGGGTAGTTTCAGAAGGAACGGAAGTGCATGATTCTTCGATTATACTATCCTGAATTTTCTTGTCAAAGTTAGATTCTGTCAAATCTACGATCTGGTTAACGGTTTCCTCAATAATGGCTTTTGATTCTGTTATAGGCGGCTTATTGATTCTAACTCTGAACGGAGTTGTACAGACAGTAGCAACGTGCTCATATCCTTGACAATTGTAACACTGAATTATTAGGCTAAGTTTGAAGAGATCTCTTTCTGATTTCTGACCATTGGGATTGACTCTAGA